GGGCGGAGCCCCAGCCGCCAGTGCTGGTGGCCGCCGCCGCTGCCGATCCCGAGCGGACGCCTCTGGTCCCGCGCGTCGCTGCTTCCTAGGGCGGCGGTATGCTGGGGAAAGGGGTAGTCGGCGGTGGCGGCGGCACCAAGGTGCCCAAGGCCTCCTTCGTGTCGTACGTGCGCCCTGAGGTGAGGGGGCGCCGTGCGGGCGGGGTGTCGGGCTGGAGCTGCCGGGGTGAGGGGCGCCGGGAGCCCCCTCCCCGCTGCTGGGAGGGCCGCGGGCGCTTCCTGTGCGTGTGCGGGAGGGGAGCCGGGCGGGGTGAGGCCCTCGGGGGCGCGCTGGGATCTCGCACGGGCTGAGGTGGGGACCTCCGGCGCGGGCAAGCAGGTGCCGGAGCGCCGGGCCCGGTCGCCGGCGACTAGGTGAAGGGGCCCGAGCCGGGAAGGTGCTGCGGCCCGGGCCGCCCCTGCCTACCTTGGCGTGGAGCTGGGGTCCTGGGCACCGCGGGAGGGGAAGGGCTGCGCGCTCCCGACCCCCGTGGGGACCTGCCCAGAGCCCGCCGCCTGGGTGGGTCTGCCCTGCCCCTGGAATTTCTCAGTTGAGTCTTCTGAGCTCGCCTGCTGTTTGATGCCGGGGCGGGATACCGTGCACCGCCTCCCGCCTCCCATCAGCAAGCAGTGCAGCTTTCTCCCTTGAGAGTTCTCCTGTCATTTCTTCCCCTTTTCATTTCATCCCCTCTTGCCTTCCCCTGGAGTTTTACTGTTAAGTTCATTCATTCATAAAATATTCATTAAAACAGCTCCTTCACTGTTCTGAACTCTTGGGATATATACATCGTGAACAAAACAAAGATCCCTGCTCTCCTGGCGCGTATTTGAAGGAGAATGGAGTGAACAATAAGTAAAATAAATATAAGTAAATTACATGGTTATATTAGAAGGTGATAAGTATCAGGGGAAAAGGAAAGGCACCATTTTCCTCCTTGCCACAGTGGCATTTGAGCAGATTTGAAGGGTGTTTGGGGTCTGAGGGAAGAGTAGTGCTGGTAGAGGGAAGTCTGGAGTGTTGGAGGCGCATCAAGAAAGTCAGCCCTGGGGCGCCTGGGTGGCTCAGTTGGTTAAGCGACTGCCTTCGGCTCAGGTCATGATCCTGGAGTCCCGGGATCGAGTCCCCGCATCGGGCTCCCTGCTCTGTGGGGGGTCTGCTTCTCCCTCTGACCCTCCCCCCTCTCATGTGCTCTCTCTCTCAAATAAATAAAATCTTTAAAAAAAGATTTTATTTTTATTTATTTGAGAGAGAATGAGACAGAGGGCATGAGAGGGAGGAGGGTCAGAGGGAGAAGCAGACCCCCCACAGAGCAGGGAGCCCGATGCGGGGACTCGATCCCGGGACTCCAGGATCATGACCTGAGCCGAAGGCAGTCGCTTAACCAACTGAGCCACCCAGGCGCCCAAAAATAAAATCTTAAAAAAAAAAAGTCAGCCCTGAAGAAGCCTAGTAGGTGAGGGGGAGAGTCGCAGGAAACCAGGTTAGAGAGGTCATAGCTTGTAGGCCATCCTGAGGACTTCTTGAGCAATAATTCCCAACTCAGGTACCTAATGAAATGCATTCTTATTTTGGATTCCTGAAGGTTTTTCCTGCTCTTCTTCCCAGTATTTTAAGCAGCAATGTGCAGGAGCACTAACTATCAAACTCATTGTCTTCAGCTGTCTTCCCACCCTTGTAAAGCAAAGGCAGGTGAGCTGTGGATGAGCGGTCTTGGTCAGGGACTGCTTCTATAACACCACCTGAGGCCAGAAGCCTTTATACATACATCTTCAAATTTGTGTTTTCTCTAGTTGAGAATACTTTTGAAATAGGTTTTATTTTTAGTCCTAATTTGAAAATAAAAACCACTTCCTCCTTAGATCCTTGATAAGGAGTCAGGGTTATCTTGCATTTTCAGCAGGCTTCCCTTGTATCGTGGGTAAGTAATGTCAGTTTCTCTTTGTGTCTGTTTGATTGAGCCTTTGCTGAAACACAACTGATCTTTAACCTTTCCTCTTCAGTGAGATTAAACTACAAATGGAAAGTCTTCTGAAATGTGGCCACAGTTCCAAGAATGTTCAAATTTTTCATCCACCAAGTGCACATGTTGTAATTAGACATGTTTTCCCTCTTTGCCCACAGTGCCTGATATATTTCCTTTGAGGGATAATTAGGGAAGGGGAGTGGTTCAGTCCCAAAATGATCACATTTTTCGGATCCTTATAGTTGGCAGTTTTGTTTTCTTGCAGTGAAATAGTGCTGTGTTTCTTTGTTGTAATCTGTCTCTAAAAATATTTTGAACGGAGGGAAGGGCTCTGACCTAAATTGCTTACAGTTTTTAAAAGAAAGGTATGAGCGGGTGAGAAAGCAATGTTTTTATTTTTTATTTTTTTATTTTTTAAAGATTTTATTTATTTATTTGAGAGAGAGAATGAGACCGAGAGCACGAGATTGGGGGAGGGTCAGAGGGAGAAGCAGGCTCCCCGCTGAGCAGGGAGCCCGATGTGGGACTCGATCCCAGGACTCCAGGATCATGACCTGAGCCGAAGGCAGTCGCTTAATCAACTGAGCCACCCAGGCGCCCCAAGAAAGCAATTTGTTTTTAAATGTATAGCTTTTGCTAGATATCATATTATTGGAAATTGACGTGAGCAGCTTTGCGGAGTAGCTTATATACCTCTGAGAATACTGTGTCTGGTAACCTCTTGGCTCACTCAGGAGGAGTCCCTCAGAACACTTTTCTGGACTGCCATTAGGTTTCTGCTCCTTTCCTTCATATTGCTTTCATCTTTACTGCATTTGGTGTATGTCTTCCTCTCATTTCTCTTTATGCGCTTTGCTTTTGTTAGCTGGGAAATCGCAGGTTTCTCAGGCACCTTTCTGCTGGTAGGTCACTGAGCTGCCAGAACAATCCTCACGCCTTATGATGTGGTGATACCTGTGCCTGGTGATAACTTGTTGGCTGATCAGATCTTGGAAGGCTCAACAGTGGCTTTCTTCAGTATGCCAGAGTCTGTCAAGAGTCAGCACTTTGTGTTAAAAACAGTAGCGCTTTACTGGATAAAGTAGTTGAAGATGATGCTTTTAAATATGATGGCTTATTTTTTTCTTGTGATTAGAAAGGATTGACATCTGTCATTGATTCTAAGTCAGTGAATGTGAACCTTAAAATCCTGAACTGTAGTTTGGGACCTTTGGTCATGTTTTGTGAACTCTGCCCAGAGGGTTACAAATCAGTAGAGCTTGTAAGGGGGAAGCCAGTGGCTCTGGAAATTGAGGTGAATGGGAGGGAGAGAGCTGGGTCATTCTTGGTGGTACCAGATGGCTGGTACCTAGAAACATCTCAGCGTCACCACCCCAGGTTAGTCCCAGACAAACAATGGAAAGGACCTTGTGCCTCTGTGCAAGGGAACCGCTGGGTGCCTAGCTCCCCTTCAAGGAGGCATGTGGTTATAGTTTGGAAGCCAGATCCATTTTTCTTGCTAAATAAAACACCTGATTATTATTTCAGAAGCTGTAAGTGTTCATTATAGAAAAATGAGAAAATATAGATTTGCAAAGAATTTATTTTATTTTTTAAAAGATTTTATATTTATTTGATAGATAAAGAGCACAAGTAGGCAGAGAGGCAGGCAGAGGGAGAGGGAGAAGCAGGCTCCCCGCCGAGTAGGGAGCCCGACACTGGGCTTGATTCCAGAACCCTGGGATCATGACCTGAGCCGAAGGCAACCACTTAACCGATTGAGCCACCCAGGCGCCCCGCAAAGAATTTTTTAAAGAAAAATTATAAGCAACTCAGAGTATACCTTGTCAGATATGTGTGTAGGTGTATGCATATGTTTTTTCTAAAATGGGTTTAATATTGCTGATCATATTATTTGTAATCTACCTTTTCACCAGAAATCTATATTGTAAATGTCTTTCCATGTCTGTTGTTAACCTATAATGTCATTTTAAATTAGACCCATTTTCCACAACAGAAATACTGTGATGGGGAGATGTTAGGTAGCATAAAAAACCAAAGAAAGTGTGATTTTTTTTTTTTTTAAGGATTTTATTTATTTTGAGAGAGCGAGCACACACGTGAGACAGAGGGTGGAGGGATGGGCAGAGGGAGAGAGAATCTCAAGCGGACTGCACACCCCAGTGTGGAGCCCGACCCAGGGCTTGATCTCATGACCCTGAGGTCATGACCTGACCTGAAATCAAGAGTCAGGCGCTTAACCAGCTGAGCCACCCAGGTGCTCCGTGATTTTTTTTTTTTTTAAGTTTATTTATAATCTTTACACCCAACATGGGGCTTGAGCTGGAGATCAAGAGTCGCATGCTCTACCAACTGAGCCAGCCAGGCACCCTTATTTGTAGATTTTTAGATTTGGGAGAGAATTTAAAGATAATCTGCTCCACCACTGTACTCTTCCTCTGTAATACAAATATGGAAACGAGGCCCTGCAAGGTTAAATGTCCTGCCCAGCGCCACAGAAGTTTTGCAGTCCAGAGATAAGAACTGTCTCCTGGAGATAGCAGTGCCTGTGACTAAGCTAGGCCCACGGGAGCTTAGGAAAGGTTTTTATGTAGATGTGGGAAGAAAAAGCAAGAAAAGAAACGAAGATTGAGGAAGGATAAAAAAAAATCCAGATTTAAAGAGCCAATTTTTTCTTTTCATTTATCCCTCAGGGGAAAGAATGCATTTGATTGCCTAATCTTGATTTAAGGCTGTATCTTTTCATGGAGAGAAGTGAACTGATCTATGATCTGGTTTTTCCAAGAGAGAAAAGCTGGGGTATATATCAAAATAATACAGTGAATAATTACTAATATTTATTAGGCACTTCTGTGTCCCAGGAACTGTACTTATTTCATCCTTTCAACTATCATATGCAGTGGATACTATTACTTCCTTTTGAGTGTTTAGATGTGGAGAGACCCAGTGAAGTTAGTACCTTGCTCAGGGTCATAGCCAACAAGAGGTGGTGCCAGGATTTAAACTTGGGCAGTCTCATTCCGGGGCTGTTCTTCCATCCTTACATTTATGAATGCAGGTAATATTATTAGTGAAACATGCATGTAGTCATGACTGGTGTTCACACACTAAAGTGTTTTCTCATTCATGGTCTCTAGTAGCAGTTTCCTTCTTGGCTTTTGTTACTTTCTCCACCAG